TTTAAAATCTGGCTTTGGCTTCGGCCAAATTTGTCTGCAAAAATCTGGCTTCCACTCCGGTTAAATTTTAAAAAATTAAATTCGTTACAACTCTAATTATATATATATAGATAGATATATATATAATTATATATATATATATCTATATATATATATATATATATATATATATATATATATATATATACACCTTGTTCCTTGTTTAGCACTTATGGGGACAAATTTTACAAAAAAACTAACACTTACGGGGACATTTGCGTTATTGGGGACATTTTAGTATACCCGTTAATTTTTTGTCCCCGTAAGCATAATTTTTTTGTAAAAAAATGTACCCATAAGAAACTTTTATAGAGAATGAAAAGTACATACATCGACTGACAAATAGCCTGACTTGCACGGGAGTGCTGCTTCATCGACTGAGGATTTGGTTAGGCCAGGCATCAAGGTCAGGTTTAGGTTTAGGGTTACGGCAAGGTTTAAATTTGGTTATATTACTGTAGTTAATAGTTTTTGTAAATAGATAGTAAATAGAAGTTAAAAATGAAATATAATATAAAATAAATAAATAAAAATAACAAAAATTAATATAAAAAATATATTTTTATAATAAAATAATAAATTTAAATATGTATAAATAAAAATAGAAATAAAATAAAAATTAAAAAATATATATAAATATGATAAAAATAGTGTGAAAAAAGTAAAAAAAAACAACAACAACAGAATGGGAACAAAAATAACATGTCCCCGAAAATTACCATCTAGTAGGCTCTCTCTCTCTCTCTCTCTCTCTCTCTCTCTCTCTCTCTCTCTCCTCTCTATATATATATATATATATATATATATATATATATATATATATATATATATGTATATATATATATATATATATATATATACATATCTATCTATCTATCTATATATATATATATATATATATATATATATATATATATATATATATATATATATATATATATATATATATATATATATATATATATATATATATATATATATATATATAGATAGATAGATAGATAGATAGATAGATAGATATAGATATAGATATAGACATAGATATAGATGCATACATACATACATGCATACATACATACATGCACACACGAATTTTTTTTTTCAGAAACATTCATTTTCAAATATTTAGTTAAAAAGTAAACTTTCTAATAATTTTCTATATGTTTTAATAATATTTTTAATATTGTCCATAAAATATATACATTTTAAAAAAAATTTATTTTGGACAGGTTGATTTTTTAAGTTTGCTATCATCAAAACCATCAAACTACTGCACAAAGTTATTAACCAAATTTTTTTTAAATAAATGGTGCAATCTTCATAACAAAGAAGATAAAGTAAACTTTTGCTTGGACTGGAAGCCTGTAAAAATATTTTTGAAGATTCTAAGTAAATTTAATTTTTATTTTCATATTAAAGTATAAAAAATTATCATAAGGTAACAATTATTTTTAGTATATATATATATATATATATATATATATATATATATATATATATATATATATATATATATATATATATATATATATATATATATATATATATATATTGATAAATGTTGTATACTGCTGGAAATACAACTCTTGTCTGTTTAAGAGTGATCAATATCTTTTTTTAAAAAATAGATCAAATTATAATAAAATAATTTAAATGAAAAAAATACAACTTTATGATGGAACTATATATATATATATATATATATATATATATATATATATATATATATATATATATATATATATATATATATATATATATATATATATATATATATATATATATATATATATATATATATATATATATATATATATATATATATATATATATAATTATATGTATATATAAAAAACTAGACAAATAAAAAAAAACTATACATATATCTTTTTTCTGTTACTGTTCCTAAGTGCTCCAAAAACTCTTATTTGTATAGTTTTTTATATGTACATATAATTATATATATATATATATATATATATGTGTATATATATATATATATATATATATATATATATATATATATATATATATATATATATATATATATATATGTATATAAATATATACATATATATATATACATTTATATGTATATATGGATATATATATATATTCATACATACATATATATACATATATCTTTTTTCTGTTACTGTTCCTAAGTGCTCCAAAAACTCTTATTTGTATAGTTTTTTTCCTTGAACATCATTTATTTGGAAATCACTTTCTTTCTTGATTTCTTGATTCATTTAATTTGCAATCTTTTAAGTTGTCTGTCAATCGTTATCTTGCTCTACAATCTTGATCTTTTCTCTTCCAGTAACTTCCAACTCTAATTAGTGGTTGCTTGAAGCTGTGTTCAAAGCGAAGATGTAAAAAAAAAGTTATGTTTATATATATAATAGCATAAAAAATAAAGTTAATTAAGTTAAGTGAAAAGTGGTGTAAAAATTAAGCATGAAAAATGACATTTATTAACTATAAATAAAATTATTTTTAAAACATTTTTACAGATTTTTCAAGACAATAGTTTTTATTCAATAAGTTTTTTATAACAATTTTTGAAATTTTCATGTAATTTCTTTTAATTTGAGACCTAACATTATTCACTTTTTTTTTGTTGATAATTTTGAATTCATTTAAGGGTCTTGAGGCACCCCTAAAAAATATTTTTTAATCAAAGTTTTTTTATCATATAGAACACATTAAAGAGGTGGTTGCATATATTTTTAAAAAATATTGTGTTTTGGGACACCCTAGTTTATATATTTATATATATATATATATATATATATATATATATATATATATATATATATATATATACACTTACTAAATATATATATATATGTATATATATATATATATATATATATATATATATACACACTTACTAAAGCGTTATTTTATAAGCATTTGCTCACTTTTTTTGCTTACTTTAACCCATACAGCTTTTTTAGAAAAAGAAGAAAAAAAACAAAGATTGATGAATGAAACGATTGCTGACCCATCCTAAACCCTCAGTCAATGTAGCAGCACTCCACTGCGAGTCAGGCTATTTGTCAGTCGATGTATGTATTGAAGCCCCCAGCAACAGGCTATTGTAGTATGTCAGATTGCTTACCTTATTACGCAATACTATTTGTGTGTGTATATATATATATATATATATATATATATATATATATATATATATATATTTATATATATATATATATATATATATATATATATATATATATATATACACACACAATTATATATATATATATATATATATATATATATATATATATATGCATATATTCATATATATATATATATATATATATATATATATATATATATATATATATATATATATATATATATATATATATATAT